AAGGAAAAGAAGTTCTTATTTTACAAGCCCATAACAACTGTTAAAATTACATCAGTATTCATATTGTACTTGGAATGTCATAGGTAAAGTTCTATTTGCTTATTTGTGTTTAGTTGTCTATTTTAATGATAATTATTGTGAATTATATTTATTTCTGTATGTTTTAATTACTGTTAATTCATGCAGTGGTGAAGAAAGTTTAATAGATGAGTTGGAAGGAAAGAGGTGAGGCCAGATATTACATAGTTTGTATCCATCTTTATTAAATTATGATATAAAGGTATTCAAGCCTACATTGAAAGATTACCTCTTTACTCACTCCTTCTATTCTGTAGATGATTTCATCTCTGCTGAAAATGTTTAAGCTTTATATTCATAATCTACATATATGTAAAGCAAGTTTTGTATTTATATTTAAAATTCTGAGGTTTATGTATATTAATTTGTAAAATTATTTTTCATACTTGTATTGCAGAATCTGAAATTTATGTACATTGATATGTGAAATATGTTCTTGTACTTGTGTTGAAAGTTCTGAAGTGTATGTATATTGTATGAAATGACATGTTCTACATCCTTTGGTTGAGTCCTAAGAAGGATCTATGGAATGTAAATAAACTCTACTCTACTCTCTAGATGAAGTGATGGTTGTGTTTATTATTGATGGCTTCACTGATGATGCATGGATATTGGCTCAGACTTATGTTCTGTCAAAGTCAGTATCATGTTTGGTCTCTGTGGAGTATTCACATACTGTTGATCACAACTTCTGCAGTATGGTGTTTCCAATACATTCTGAAATTCTAGTGGACATATGGTGGCCCATTTGGTCAATATATAGTTTACCAAAGGAACAGAGAGGCTTATATATACCATGGTTCTGTGTAGGGTGTTATGTATCCTTCATGGATCTGAGGTGTGAGGCCAGTTCATTGAATGGTTTTTGGTTGATTAGTAGCCAGGAGATATGGTCTATTGTTCATTACATGTGGTTTCTTTTCTGAAAAATGTTTCATGTCTGTGTTTGCTGATACAGCTGCTGTTGCTGTACTGGAATAAATAGCTGCTGGCTTGGAGGATGGACTTGGCATGCTATAGTTTTGAGGCGTGGTTGGATAAATTGCAGACAATTCTAACTCTGTCAGCCCTTTTATGAGCCAGTGGGTGCTGTGATACTGCTTGTTAAGTATCTGTGGGTAGGTTTTCATGAGCTGGACTACCTCTGGGAGTTGTATAGGTGGAAATTGAAAAAGACATGCATAAATAATAATACTAATTAATAAGAACTTGGTGTTGGGGTGCTTGGAGTTCAGGTGTCTGACATACTCTCTTAAGGATGTTTGTCCTGCCCATCCAAATTGCAAACAGCATCCATATACCCATGTTAGAATTTCAGTTTCATCATATTTATTAAGAGTTCAACACTTTTTCAATACCTCAGACTGTAGGGTGTGGAATGAGAATATGAGTGTCAAACATAAAGTTCGTGCAAATAATTTGTACGAATTTAATATACCGTCGTTCAGCACTTCCCATAAGATGTTTCATTCTATAATGCAATAAGCGATATTTATGGATCAGCGATATAACATTAAAGTTGTAGCCGACACGTGTCATCGCTAAGTCGTTATCCTTTTGGTGTGAACTATTCATATAGTAATCCATGGTATTTCTAAAAGCGTAACGTAAATACGACCATAGTTTTAATATATGAACCAGTGTGTTGGTATCACAGATAAGTCCAATAATCTGTGAGCACGATCGTAACCGCATCGGAAGTAGGTCTTCTGTGTACTTTGTGGTAAGTGTAATATAGAATAAATTGTGAATTGTGTTTTCATATGTAATGTTATATTGTAAGTTTTGTACGCTTCTATCCAGTATAAAGCAGGTCATTTCAATCGCCCGGAAGAGTTCACCATTCTGTAGGTTCGTATGCATACGAAAACGATTTTGCAGTTTCTCTGTCATAATTCAAGGCTTCAATTTTGTGTGAGTAGGTTTTCTCACACATCATTTATGAAAGGGCAGACTGAAGTCAGCATGTCTTTAAGTGGAGGTGATATTAACCACAGTGTGGACCAGCATGTCTTATTTCCACCAACCGAAGTTCGAGGTATGAAAAGTCTAGATCGGGGGAAGTTTTGCAAAAGCATCGTTGTACCATGGCTAATGATAAATGAAATGAAGTTGGGTCCCATAACGAAGCACCTTAAGAAGTATCTTCTGAAATTGAATAATTTTAAAGCTGTACAAGTATTGGAACCAAGTTCACTTGAGTGTACCACTACAGAAAGTCCGTCTTCAGCCAGAAAAATTGTGTTGAATCCTACAATGGTGAAATGTTTTGATGATATTGAGGAAGATGATAGAAGCATACTGCAGAATTTTAATATAAGCAAGGATTCACTCAGTTTTGGAAAATTGGATTTAACTTATGATAACTGGGGAGCAGATGAATTGCTGAAAGCTATTTTACCAGAAGATAAGGATAGTTTAACAAGCTATTCAGTAATAGGGCATATTATTCATGTGAATCTTCGAGATCACTTACTGGATTATAAGCAGGTGATTGGCCAAATTTTACTTGATAAAATTAAGGGTGCAAGAACAGTTGTTAACAAAACAGACATTATTGACAACATGTACAGGAATTTCAGAATGGAAATTTTGTGTGGGGAAGATTCCATGTTGACTGAAGTTCGTGAGAATCACTGCACATATAAGTTTGACTTCTCATCTGTGTACTGGAACCCACGACTGTGTACAGAACATGAGAGAATAGTAAAGAAAGTTAAGCAGGGGGACATTCTATATGATGTCTTTGCAGGTGTAGGTCCTTTTGCAATACCAGCTGCCAAGAAGAAATGTATTGTCTATGCAAATGACCTAAATCCAGAATCATATAAGTGGTTGAAACATAATGTGAAACTTAATAAGGTAGACAAATTATTTCAGACTTTTAATAAAGATGGTGAAGCTTTCATTAAAGAAGATGTGAGAAGTGATATGTTACAAAGGTGGCAGAATAAGGACTTTGCAAATAGCACAATGCATATCACAATGAACCTACCTGCCATGGCAGCTACATTTTTGAAAGTTTTCATTGGTCTCTTTACTCCAGAAGAATTAGATGCAGTAGAAGTAAAGACATTCCCAGTTGTTTATCTATACTGTTTTGCAAAGGGTGATAATCCTGTGGCTATAGCAAAAGAAATGGTGGAAGAAAATTTGGGTTTAGAGCTAAAAGAAGATTTGATAGAAGTATTTCATGTTCGAAATGTTGCTATGAAGAAAGAGATGATGCGTGTGACATTCTTGTTGTCAAAAAATGTTCTTACTATGGAATCGAGTATGCATTGTAAGGGTTCCAGAAAGTGTGCACAATATCTCCTAGAAGAACCCCAAACAAAGAGGCTGTGTGTGGAAGACAATGGTGAGGATTATCAGAAATGCAAATGTGTAATAGAATGTGATAAATATACAAAAAGGAAATGATATATTTTACCAATTAGAGTATCCATTATTTGCACTGATTTTATTATCTGTTTATTCGTTCATGGTCTATTTAATGATGCTGTCAGGAGTTCAGATTATACACCCTCAATTGATTGGTTAATTGACAAATGATGAATTTGAAAGGATATTGAAGGAAATGGTCATGGCCAAATTTAAGGTACTGTTTTGGAATTTACTTGGAAGAAAGTCATATAAAAACTCACTCATGCAAGCTGGTCTGTGGGTCATTATTTGAACCTATGATGTCCTAAATATGTAGCAGAGGTGCTAACTAATCGGCCATGACAAACTTTAGTGATATAATGAAATTGCTTATTTGTTACATTATACATCTTTAATAAACAATATTAACTCTGTATAACTGAGTGGTAATGGTATGTACCATATTCTTTAAAATTCAGTAATGCTGCATTTTGTATTATGAGTTTTGTATGTTTTTCTGTTTAAACATTATTTCCTTAAGCAGCATTTTCAGTTGATCTTGAATAAATGTGGTGTTTTCTTGAGGTACAAACCGAAGTTTTAAATAATATTTACACAAGCTTTTGCTTAAAAAGATTTAAGTATCTGGGAACAACAATAGCAAATAGAAATGTGGTCTATGATGACATTAAGAGCAAAATACATTCAGGGAATTCTTATTTTTATTCAATTCAAAAACTGTTATCATCTCATTTACTGTTGAAAACAGGATATATAAAACAATAATTTTGCCTGTTGTCTTGTACGGTGTGAAACATGGTCTCTTACCATGAAGGAAGAATGTAAATTACAGGTATTTAAAAACAAGGTGCTCAGGGAAATATTTGGACCTTTGAGGGATGAAATAAATGGGGAATTTAGGATAATGCATAACGAGGAGCTGTGTGAATTGTATGGGTTACCTAGCATAGTGAGGATAGTGAAATCCAGGAGACTTTGATGCGTTGGACATGTAGCTTGCATGGGGGGGAGGCAAGGGGTGCTTACAGAATCCTTCAAGAAAATGACCACTGGACAGACCAAGAAGATGTTGGGAGGATAATATCAAGACGGATCTTGTGAGGATGGTAAATGGTTGGAGTTAGCTCAAGATCATGTCTGATAGTGGGCTTTGGTGATATCTGTGTTGGTGTTCTGCTACCAGAGAGTTAGGTTATAGTGTATAATTCTTATTTGGTGTGTATGTAATGAAAGGTGAGGGAGACTACCTGTAGTGTTAAGTTCACAGCAATAAATTTGTATCTGGACTAAATGAACATCAAGAATGTATATGCAGAGCCAAAAATTTGCAAATAATGCATTTTAAAACTTATTCTGATATGAAATACAACTTTCTGTTGTGTTGTATAAGCTAATTCATTAAAATGTAGCTAACTTTTAGTTTATTTCTCTTTATAGGAAATTTGATGGTTTTGTATGAGCTTATGACTTTGTTGCTAGATTGCAACAGTAAAACATGTTAATTTAAGTACATTACAGAATTTTATGTCTCTTCTCAGGTTCTAAATAGACAGCAGATGGGGAAACACAAGAAAAGTAACAAGCAAGTGAAGAATGTGTTTAAGGTGGCAGGTGCAAGGAGTTTGAAATTGAAAAATAAAGCAAAATCAGTCACAGTACAACTTAAGAAGGTGAGTCATGATTGCATCTTGTGGAATATTAAATGTCTATGCTCTGTATTCCTGTACTTCCTTGTTTCTGTTTATTTCTCATCTTTTTCTCAATATTAATTTTTCTGGAAGTTAATTTTTTTCAAGATCATTTGTAAATAGTTCATGATTGTGTGAATTCACTTGGGCAGTTTACTTGCCTTTGTAGCCTTCTTCATTGATCATCATCTTGGGTCTTTTTTGACAGAGTCCTGTTTGTCATAACCTCCTTTGGTTATTGCTAATAGCTGAACCTGAATTGGAGTTTTAAGTGGCATTACATTGGCTTTGCCTCCATCATCAGGGTGACAATGGAGGTGGCAAAGTTCTCTGAAACATTGGTAAACCTTACCAGACTACACAGCTCTGTAACCTAGAAGACAGCCATCATCAGACTCACCACTGTGAAAACCTTAAATCCTACTAAGAATCACAATTTGTTCCTGTTCTTACATGACATTCTTCTTTCCAAGCATAGAAGCCTTTGGCAGAATATCTTAACAGTAATCAGTGCATTCTGGTCAACTTTGCATCCATATGATTATGTAGGCAATTCATATTTCTTCATGAATGCAGTTTTTATATTGATTTATTTATGGTTTATAGTGACTTGCTATGGACTGGACATCCAGGGTTCAATCCCCGATGGGATTTTTTCTCTAGTCTCTGCTTCCAGAATGGACCCACCCAACCTCCTGTCCATTGGGTACTGGGGTCCTTTCCTGGGGGTAGAGCATGGCTGGGGCGTGACACTGACCACTTACTGCAATCAAGTGCCGAGGTTAAGAATGAGTACTACCTCTTCCCCAAGTGCCTTCATGGCATGTAGTTGGACTGCTTTACTTTGTTTTCTTTAATGACTGTCACTTATGCAGACTATATAGTGTTGAGTGGTAGAATGAATAATGAATTGGAAAAGAATTACCATTGTATTTCCCTCTAGTTTTTCAGCCCTCTCCCTAGAATCTTTCATATTCACCATTCCTCCCACATGAGTCAGTTCACACAAGGTGCACCACGTTCAGAGCATTTGGAATAGTTGTAATGCTGAACACACTATATAAAAATGCAAGCTGTGTGTTAATAATTATTACAATTTTAGTATTTGCAGAACTCAGGGATAGAAATTAACTGATTTTTTAATTATCTGCATTATAAAGCATTTAAAGTTGTATATTATTACATGGTGATTGACAGTTAAATTTTTGCAGAAGTTTAAAATATCAGATATCAGATTAATGTGGTTTTACTATATTTATCTTCCATGCAGTGCTCAATCCTGAACTGAATATAGGAGAGGTGAGTCACTCATATGGCCCCGCTTCAGTCTCATTTTCATATGCATTTATATCATCTTCAAGACTTAAAAATTGGTGACAAAGGCAGTTCTTCATTTTTTGAAATAGGAAGTCTCATTTATGCTTGGTGTTAACTGTAGGCTGTGTAGGTTAATACCTCAACTGAAGTGTTCTGCCGGGCATAGATTGTGGTTTGTGCAGAGGGAGAGTGAGATTATATGTGCATGCGTGTGTTTGTGTTTGTGGAGTCATTGTCTAATAGAAACTTGATTGATCTGTACGATGTTTATTTTTGAAGCTTGTCAGTCACTCATGCAAACTGTTGTGTACAGTTCTCAAGTAACAGTATAAGTCTCCAGTACTTCTTAGCCTTTTCACTTTCATGGGTGGAATGCCACTGGAGAAGATTGAAATTGCTGCTTAAAGCTTTTCTCAGGCTCAGAATGGTAAGACCATAAAGAAATTGTGTGAGAATTATCATTATTGCTGAGTAATTTTGTAAATGTTGACAAATGTGTGTATTAATTTGTGTTCTGAACCTGTTATGGGGATGTTATGTGTATCTACATGTTTCATTATCCAGACCACATAAAGCATTTTGGCATGATCTGTTACATGTTATAGGTCTACAATTAAATTTGTTTGGCAAATTTTATTTTGGTTCAGTCCATTATATTGTCAGATTTATAAAAAAAGGCTTATTGCATCTCACATGGGAATATAATGTGAACTATTTCATTAGGATCTTTGTGCTAATATTGTCAGATTTATAAAAAAAAGGCTTATTGCACCTCACATGGGAATATAATTTGAACTATTTCATTAGGATCTTTGTGCTTATTCAAAATATTTTTTTGTGTTGTGTATATGCAATGAAGGGTAAAGTAATTTATGCCTGTATTCCTTGTTACCTGTATCAATACAAATACTTTATCAGAAAGTGCAGTATGATATCTCTGCTGTTGATTAGTCTTATCAAGAATACGTATGTGTCTAGACTGATTGAACTATGGAGCTGTACAAACACGAAGAATGTAGGTATTCAGAAACTTTATGTATTGTGAGATGAAGATCTTTTTTCTAATTTTCTGTTGCTCGAAGGCTTTTTTGTCTTTTATTTGTTAAACGCCACACATCTATATTGTAGCCACATACATGTTTTTTGACGTAAATACGTCTATACGGAAGGGTCATTCAGCAAGAAAACGTAACGAAGATGTGTAAGTTCCATAACCAAACCAAAGAAGCTAACTGAGGGCAGAGGCTTGCGCAAGCGCAAGCATCGTCCCTACCTAGGTGAAACCATTCCTGCGCACAAGACGCATTGCTGGAAATGGTAAACGGTCGTAATATAAGAACGGAAATTTTGCTAACGCTAACGGGGTTTCGTCGTGGCGGGAGCCTCGACCATTCAAACTGGGATTTGTTGCTGCTGATGGGAGGTTATCCTGTCAGGCAAGTTGTCGAAGGAATTTGGTTGGTTGGGTCTCTGGGGTATGAACCCAGAGGGGGAGGGGCCGTTTCGGCTGAAGGCCTCTGCGGCATGGGGGGAAGATCACTTCAGCTGATGGCCTCCATTTTGCAATATTATTTGTGTTCCAGTTCATTTTTCAGTTTGTTAAAAAGGAATAGGATAGTAAAAATAAAATTTACAATCAAATGTAATGTGGGAACATATAAGTTATTCACAAGTTTTATCCTAAGCAGCTGTAAACATTGGCTATATATTCTTTGTACAGTGTGTACAAAGTAATCACATATGAAGGAAGTTGTAACCATCTGCCTGCCTGCATTTCAACTTTGTAATGGATTTGATGAAATCAGGTATTGAGGGTCTACACAAGTGTTGGTAACTGAATTTAATTCTAGTTTATGTTAACCTTATTGAACTCTTAATGTTCATGAAGTTTAAACTGAACTCATTAGTTTTGCTTAAAAAAATGCACCTGTAGAAAAGAATGGTACATGAGAAAATTTTATTTGAAACATTTTTTGCCAAGCTGAATGTTTAATGAAGTATAAAAAAAGTTTCTGACTTTGTGCTGGATATATGTGTGGTATGAATAAATTTGCAATAATAGATTTATATCTGCAATAAACAGTTATCAAGTGTGGTGAGGTATGTAAAATATGTATACCTATTTTGATTCTTGTTAAGTACTGTAATTAGAATAGTCTTACTACACTTCCATAATGATATTCAAGTTTCATTTACTTATTGCTAGCTATGAACATAATTTACATCAAGCAGTTGTGTTATGTAACAATGACGACCTTGTGAAGCAGTAAAGTCTTATCTGTGATAATCCCCATATTTGCATATACAGTATATGTGTTTTTACAGTAAAATTCATAATGTTTTCTGTAGAAATATTTGTGGAGTTGGTGTCTGCTATCTTTAGACTGTTTTGTCTTTATTGTTACAGTTGAATGAAGTTACTCGCAAAAAGACAGCAGAAGTTGATGGACAATTGACAACTGAAGTGCAGTCTAAACTACTTCAGAAACAAGAAGTGCAGGAAATTGTTAATAAGAAAGTTGATGTGAGAGAGGAACAGAAGAAATTTCAAGACATTGAGAAGGATTCATCAGAAGCTTTGAACAAGCTCTGTGACATGCAAGTGAACTGACTTATATCAGGCAGTTGAAGTTAGTTTTATTTTAAATTGATGACAGGAGGTATATATTAAGTCTTGTACGTGAATTGCAATTTTCTTTGCTGTGTAACATTTAAGGAAAGAAGAGATATTTTGAACGTAAACTGTAAGGAATAATTCATGAGGAAAGTAAATTTCTAGATAAGGATATCTGAATGAGAATCAGTTTAATTTAGGGACACTGAGTACATTGGTGGTAATTTTTAATATTATACAAAATGGCTTCTTACACTGCTGGCATTATTGTAATTGGGGATGAAATATTAAAAGGCCAAGTTGTTGATACAAATTCCAATTTCTTATGTAAAAGTCTCCATTCACTGGGTATAACGGTGTGTAAAATATCAGTTGTGGGTGATAATGTTAATGAGATAGCATCTGAGGTGGCAAGATTTTCAGAGAAATATAGCAAGGTATTTACAAGTGGTGGTGTTGGTCCAACACATGATGATGTTACATATCTTGGTGTTGCTCGTGCTTTTGGACGGCATGTTGAAGTGAACAAGGAGTTGGCTAAAATATTATTGGATTCAAATTTTGTGAGTGACATCAGTGATGTTGATGCTAATCCTGCTTTGAAGATTGCTCAGGTTCCCCAGCTATCAAGTCTGATTTATTTGAAGCCTGTAGGTTACTGTCATGACCCATCATTGTTATATTCCAGTACTTTTCCAGTAGTTAAAGTTGCTAATGTGTACATTTTTCCTGGAATACCAAAATATTTTGAATATGCTGTTACCAACTTGGAGCACCTGTTCAAGAACCCTGACGGTGACAGATTTTACACACGGGAACTGTACCTCAGGAGCGAAGAGTTAGATATTGTTCCTGTGCTTAATCACACTGTTGACAAATTTAAAGGCTCAGTTGTATTTGGTAGTTACCCACAGCTTGGTAATGACATTTACATGACAAAGGTGACACTTGAGTCAATTTCGAGCCAGCAGTTGGAAGAAGCAGAATCCTATCTTTGCATGAAGCTGCCTGCTGGAACTGTCGTTGATCCCCTGGAGGAAAGTGTGTACTGGATGGTGGAAGAGGCCCCCAAAAGAGGGCTGTCTGCAGCAGTCACTGAGTCTGTGAAGGTGCGTTCAGAGGCTAGTGAAAATGAGTGAAGCGTGAACATAAGCTGCGGTTATGGGGGTTTGGAATCTTTACTATCCTGGGCTTTCCCATATCATCCATGCAGAATGACACCACAAGAGTCACATTTTTTTAGAGCAGTATTGTGCATAAGCCTGTGGCTCTACTTAAACAGTGATTTCATCCTCAGTATTTTTAATTTTGTTTATTGATTACTTGGTGATATTTCAAAGATTGGGAATTAAGGAATCATTGATATTGACATTGCTTTTGAATCTACAAAATTACTTTCCCAGTCTGTATTTTGTGCACTTCTTGACTTACTGCTGTATTCGTACTAAAAGTATGTTATTTTTTCAAGTTAAATAATTCAGATGTGCAATTAATTCTCTTGTAGTTCATGTTTTTATTTCATGATTTTGGTATGACATGATATAATTAGTAGGGAACACTGTTTACATGACACTGATCCATTTTGGACATAACTGGATCAAGCATTTGGCCTAACTATAGAGATGTGTGTGGAGAATAATTTCTGTTGAACCAGTTATTTCCATAACAGTTTTCTGTGACTTGCATATTTTAAGAATGCAGTTACTGTATTATAGCTGAAATGACTGTGCAGGGTCTGGCAGAGGAAATTGACTGTTTTCATTTGTGAATGATTTCTGTTACATTGAGAAAATAATATAAACTGGCCCTTTAACATGTAACAGAAATTGTTGTAATTAAGTACGATACATATACTATTCAATTTTGAGAACAAAATTCAGTATATACCTCCTTCTGCAGTGATGCATTCTTGGAAGCACTTGATGAAATCGTCTGTCACATGTTGTACCATGTCATGAATCGCTGATCTGATATTGGTCTCGAGTTCTACAAAACTGGATGGCCGTGACTATTCAGATAACCAAATGAAAAACAGTCTGGGCTGAGAAATCAGGTCTTGGCAGCCATTTAAATCATGAGGTTAAACAGTGTGGAAACATTTTGTGCTTCTTCTCCATACTTCTTCATTCAATATGTGATGTGATACCAACTTGCTGGAGCCACATTCATGTGTGTTCCCAAACACACTCCCATGCATGTTATATGTACCTATAGCTTTGAAAACCTTTCCACTCCTTGCATTGTTATAACTACTCAACATAGAAACATGTCTTTTCTGCCAAACCCTGCACTTACTAGCTTCCTCTTTATTCACAAGAGGTGTGACATATGAAACCCGTGGGTATGATCAATTAAAGGGGAGAAATTCTTGTGCAAAAATATAATTTATATGAATCTTCATACAGTCTTATTATTGACAATGAAGGGGATTATGAAACTGAATTTAAAAGCTACTGAGGTAATGATTTGCTTCTTTGTCTCTGTGTGGGCTAAATAGTATATGTAGACAGTAATTAATTTGGTTATTGGCATTAAGGCTATATTTTTTTATTGATCTTGTTTGGAAAGTTTCTTGAAGCCACACTATCTTACAAAATCTATGTCTTAAATCTTAACATAAGTTCTGGTCATGTAAGCTTATGAAATTTGTATGATAATGTAAATTCTGATGACTATTGAATCCTGATATCCATTCTTAGTGCATATTGCCTGCTATGATCTTACATGGGACGAAGTATGATAGGACCTTTGCAATGAAGGAAACTGTGTATAATTATATTTTACTTTGTTTTATGTGTAGGTAATGTGAATTCATCTTTTTGCCTTACATTTTTTCAATTAATCCTTCAATTTGTCACATTTTGGTACCATGAGGAATAATGCTCTTCAGGTTGTTACTGTTTCAGTAAACATTACAGTTGGTTCATATGTATCTGATTCATCACAGTCATGCAATTATTGCTTGATCACAACTTGTAAGAATTTTATGCTGTCTTTCAGTAGTAATATATTTGTGCTTCCTTCTGCTGTTATGGCTACAAGTATCACTGATCATCTTTATTTACTTCATAAACAGAACAGAACAGTATGCAATCTTAAATTAGTTCTACTGGATTATCAAAGGTATACTAGCCAGTATCCTATAGCAGAGCAAGCTTATGTTAATGTGCATCTTGATAAAGCAAAGTAGAAAACATATATGGCCATAGTATTAAAGGGGTCATACCAAATAAGTATGATTATAGGTTAAATTTCATTAAGGTGGCAGCAGGAGTAGTGGTTATTTTATTTTTTCCAGTTCAAAGGGAAGAATGCTTCAGCAAATACAAGATTTGAAACAATAATTAAAATAATTTCTCGTATTTTTTTCAATTCTGACACTGTAGTAATGGAAAAGAATTCAGGATTTTCAGAAAAACATACTGCCTTCATATTCTACCCTGAATGTGGATGCAGTATGCTTCTCAAAATATTGGAAGCTTCTTTTACTACTACTCAGTGTTGGGATCTGGAAGAAAAAACCCTGATAATTTTGTATGGAGTGCTGTGAAAACCTTTTAATTTGTTAATTGTAGGATGTTTTTAATATTTTGGGGTTGGTGGTGGTGATGGTGACATTCTGTAAATATGCATGCCTCATTGAACGTCAAACTGTAAGATAGTTTTCTTAAGTAGTGGACTGTCAAGGCATTTGAGGTAATGTTAAGCTGATGTTAAACTGGTAATGCAACTATAATATAGGAAACAAGAAGACTTGGCAGAACTTTTGTGGAGAATCCTCATACAAAGCAGTTATCTTTCCTTTTATGATTTCATATGTATTGGAAGGAGGTGATTTCACTATTCAGACATACAACTGATACTTTAGCCACTCTTCATCACACAGTTTGAACTGGAAGTTGTGTCTTCTCTTAATGAAAATATTTCCTGCTGTCAGGAATAATTGTCCTGTTTTTAAAAAAAGTACAGTATAGATTAGCAAGTGAATAATTTATTCTTTGCATTAATTTAAATAATTTTTAGGACATTAATTATAATTTTGGATTGTTTTGCTACCTTTTAACCTCTTGACACAGATTGTGAAAGCTTTGTTTTATTTTTTTATTTTTTGTTGCTTGTGGCTGCACTGCATTGCACTGTCACAATTTGAGAAGTCTGGCTATCACAGTAATGCATTTATTGTACAGCACCATGTAAAGTGTACATTATTGTATTTGATGTGTTGTTTTAATAGTTCTTCCAGTGTTATAGTTTTAATGTGTCAGATATTTGTCTGGCAGAATTCAGTGGACAAGGTAGGAAATATGTTCCATGATATGACAGAATTATAAATTGTGTTAAGCATTTGCTCCTCCTAACATAATAGAAAGAATAAAATTAAAAGGGCCCTGTTCCTTCTAACATAACAGAATGCAGTAAAATATTATGTAAAATTTAAATACATAAAGAAACTTGGTTGATAGCACTGCATGTGGTGTTTTAAATGGAATGGGCAAAGTGGTGGAAGTCACTGAATTTTCTGTTGATTTTGAAACATTGTACTGTTCTGATAATGTGATTTGCAAGTTTGCAGGTAGCGATCAGTTGGGTTGACTATTTGAGATTTGAAGTTTTCATGGTAATGAAGATGTTGGTGCTGGTCCTCTGGGCTGTAAAGCCATTTGGACTTTTGGGCATAAATGAGGTTTTGGTTTCTACATACAAGTCCACATTGTGTTAAAACCCAGAAGACCTATGTCAACAAGAATGTCAGGATTATGCTCCTGAAGCTGATTGGACATTTCCATAAGAATTAACCAAAACAGCATGTATTCTGATATTCTGCCACTCCATTATTCTGCATACCTTCAACAAATGAAAAATATATTACAGTTTAATTAGGGTGCTAATGCTAAAGAAGTAAGAAATGTAACTGTAGATATATTCTTTGTTTTTAATATACACATTTCCTAGTTTTTGCCTCATCATTGCTGTCTTGATTTTTTATTGTTGCTTCCTTGGTATTTCCTTGACTAGTTGCTCCAAAAATTTATCAGTCATGACTGTCGATCCAGTTTCTTCTCGACATTCAGCTCCCTGCTATTGCATATTGACTGCCTGGACATTTGAATGCTCTGCTGTGTTTTGATTTGTTACATGGCACATATTCAGCCCCACTTCAATTGTATGGAGGAATTCAGACAAAAATTTTGAAGTGGAAATCTTTGGTAGGTTCTTGTTCATGCCTTGTCATTGTTTTTCTTCTGCTCATCTTACTCTCTGTACTGTTTCAATTCAACAAAGTCCTCATTGGACAGTTTCTTTTACTGTGAAATTGGACCAACTTTCCCAAAATTTCAGTTTCCATACCTTCTTGTCAGGTCTTGTTGGCTATCATAGCAACTTGCTGTGTGCAGTTGTTTAGTGCAAACACAACTTTGGAGATGTTTAAACAGGAACAAGTGATATTACAAGTTTTTGTTAATTGCATTAAACTGAGTGAACAATGTGAAAGTAGCAGTAGTCCAACAGTGTAAAAATAGTGCAGCATTAACAACAGAAAACATATTCCTTTGGTATATGAAATGCAATCAAGTGAGTCATACAAATCCCAGCTTAGTGTGGTATACCATAATTCAGTTAGAGACTAATTTTACCAAAAGGGCATGTGTGTACCTGTTGTCATTGTTATTACTGTCAGTATGTCTGTTACAAAGTGACTGCTTCTGTTCTTTTCAGGACTGTAATCTCAGTAATTTATATATTACATAAATATTTTCAGGACAGTATCTCAGTAATTTATATATTACATAAATATAACATGAATTCTGTCACCACTACCAGTATATGTGTGTATGCATGAATTCTATCACCACTACCAGTATATGTGTGTATGCTGTACAATGTGGAGGACTGGGGTGAGAGTGTTAACTGTTTTGGTGAAACATGTGAAATTTTACTCATTTGAAGGTCATGTCAAATAATACTTCAGTACAGAATTTTAACTGCCAATATCAGCTGCAAGTATTTGAAACAAGAAGCCAAAGTTTGAATTTATGTTGACACATTGTGAAGTTTCAGTGTTATAGGCTGCTATGGAGGAGAGGGACTCGTGTATGCAGCTCAAGTGGACAGGCATGGGCAAAGAACTGTTTGATGAAGCTGTGCTCCTGGAGGAAGATGTTTATTTTTCTCAATTTGATATGTTCACCTACATAACTTCTGATTTTACAAAGCACTGAACATCATAGTTGAGTGGTTAGCACACCCTCTTTGTATATGGGAGGTCCCAGTTTAAATCTCAGAGACTGGCTATTCTAAACATCATAGTTTAAATCTCAGAGACTGGCTATTCTGACTGTTTTTTGTGGTTTTACTCAGTCCTTCCAGGCAAATGCCAGGATAGAACCCTAAATTAGACCACAACTGCTTCCTTTCACATCCTTTCCAATTTATTATTTGCTGTCATCATCTCATTCAATGCTGCATAGTCTGAGTTACTGAAAAACCATTGTTAAATAAACTGTGAACAGATATACAAAGTAAAACATTTTTAATCATGGACAAATTATGATTTTCTTTGCCTGCTTTATTCAGCCAGAATTGTTTTCTAATGAGGCGAATCTGGAGTTTTTTGACATAACTGGTAGTCTGACTGGGCATCATCACTTGTTGATAACTGGTTTTCTCTGTCGTAGATGAGTCATGAACATCTGCACTGCTTTCATATTTGTTTTCAAGACTGTCAAGTATGTCGGTGGTTTTCACTGTCAACATGCAATCAGGTCACTCAAGCATTGGCCATCAGAATTGCTGTGGGGTGTGGCTTTTATCTTTTGGCCTTTGTAGACTTGCATTACAAGTTTAAGAATGTTTACAGGATTTCACATGATGGGAGAGTCAGGAGAATATATATTATAATCACAGGGTCATGAACGTGAGTTGATTGAAAGGAATTGCCAGTGAAGAGTACAAGCTGTTATGATAATCTGTTTATCGCTTGCTTGTGTCGCTCTGCTTGAGCCACATGCATGAGTCTCTCTCCACTTTATGCCTCTCTCTACAGTAGCCTGTAAGATTGCAGCTTCACAGTTCAAAACTGACAGAAATTCAGATTTAGGCCATTTTCAGATACTTGTAGTTGGTATTGGTAGCCAAAATTTTGCACAACTGACAGAAATTCAGATTTAGGCAATTTTCAGATACTTGCAGTTGGTATTGGTAGCCAAAATTTTGCATGTAAGTTTTACTTGACATTATCTATAAATGAGAAAAAATTTCAGATAAGGTATCAGTATGACAACATTAATGGTTTCCTTGTCAATCCTGGTAGTGGTGCTACATTTTTCTCATTGTGGCATAATGCACATATTGTTGAAGTTTTCTTGAATAATGCCTGTCGCAAAAGGAGGTAACAAATTTCATAGTGGCAGAGGGTAAGAATTTAAACATATGTAAGTGGAGGGAAAGAAAAGTTTCTTTCTAGTGTGTATAGATGGATCCATGTTTAATGTGATAATGTAATTGAAGAATCCATGATCGGTAAGATCAGTAACCTGGAAGTCTGGATACACATCATCCTGTTCTGTAGACAGTGTTTCAGAAACTAGTTTTTGTGTTAAATCTCTTCAGTACTGATGCTAATGTGCACTGTAGATGACAACTGTTTCTTTTAAGTATGTTCATTATACCATACAAAATCAAATTATTTACAATTTTATGACAGTTCAAATTAAACAGTTATGCAGAAGGCTCTGCATTACCAATTAAATGTTTTACTTTATGGTACTTTTCTTATAGAGTAATATGTTCCAAGGACATAATAAAGGGAGTAGCCAGAGATGGAACGGAAGTATGAAAGTGAATTTTAGAGATATAGGTTATGGACATGTGAACAGGATTGAACTGGTTCAGAGTTTTATAAATTATAAGCTTTGAACACAAAAAAGAATGTGCTGTTGACAGGATATTAATTGAACAGCAGGATAACTAATAAGCATGTAACTCTGTATCATGTAATTAATTGGGCAGTATGGTTTGATGTTACCTGAACATTCTCTTGACTGCAGATTCTCGAGAAATGCTTTGATAAGTTCAGCCCTTCAGAGATTTTCCTGAGCTTTAATGGTGGGAAGGATTGCACAGTCCTGCTACATCTTGCCACAGCTGTGCTGCGCAGAAAGTTTCCATCCCTGAAGAAACCACTACAGGCTGTGTACATACAGCCACAGGATCCATTTCCTCAAGTTGAAGAATTTGTTGTTGAGTCAGTGAAAAGGTATGAGTATAATGCCATTGAAGTTAATAAATTTTTAGTGACTAGTCCATTGACTGAAATTACTGAAGTACTTTATGAAGAATAAGTTTGTCACATCTTAGTCTATAATTTCATGTAATTTTTAATTTTTTCTGATTCTGGGCATCTTAGTTTATAAATTCTTGTAATTTTTAATTTTTTCTGATTCTGGTTTTTTGTTATTGCACTCATATGGCAGGTTCTATGATAGTGACTTCACTTCCTTTCATATCCAATATAATGTATTGTAAATAAATGAGGTGGGGATCAATGTGACACTTGCAATGTGACCATTAGCTGATCTTTTATGCTTCCCCAATTTTAATATTCCAGCAATCCCATGCCTACAACAAAGCACGGTATCCTACTTAGTGAGATCTCATGATAATCACCTGGTTTCAGGAAATGCCTGTCCAAATGGCAAAATCCTGAAAAGCTCTTTGTTAAAGAGCTCTTTTTTTTAGTGGCCATAATCAAGGTCTCCCTTTATGTTCCTGGTCTCACAGAGTCCATGGATTATAAAGGGGATTGACCTCTTCAATTAGGACATTGCCCTTACACTTGGGCCATATAGGCACCCAGATTATGGCCTCCCTGGACTTGGGTAGTGCCATGTACCCCCGCAAAGAGCTTACAGTTCCAGCAGACCCATGGACAAAGGTGATATACAGTATGTAACCTGAAGATAGACAGGTGTCATCTAACACAGACTAAATAGTATACCAGAACCACCGGCTCCCAGAGTGGTGATCTCTATAAATGGTAAAGGTAGGTTTCTCACAAGTGGTGAATCTCTTATCTTCTCAGCAGCCGGGTTGGCTAATGCTACCAGCTACTTGTGGTGGTATGCCAGAACTGCAGAGAATGATTAACTTTCAAATGAAGACAATCACAGAATTCCTTTGGTAGGTTTCTCACAACTGGTGAGCCCTTGCCTCCAGTTGTCTTCTCCATAGCCCAGGTTGGCTGATGCTATCAGTTCCCTGAGGTCATGGGGAACAAAATTCCCTACCCACAGAGTCCCATGCAGGTAGAAAGCATTGAATGATTTGGTGCTGCCTGGTGCCACAAAGGGATTGTTATTAACACTGCTATCACTACCTCAGTACCATGATCTCAGTATGATATCTCACGTTGGCTTCAGTGGACCAGAGCCCTGATTGCCGCCTGAGAACGTTACCCCTCTCCACGAAGAGGATGCCAAGGGTTGGATTTTGGAGGGGTCCATTCATATCTAACTTCATATCATGAACTTATGAAGTAGGAGTGACACTAGTGCCACTTAATGTATATGGAGTTCTGAAATGATATATGGTAATATACAATCAAGAAAATATGCAAAACTTGTGAAGTTAATTTTGTTTTAGAGTATGCAACAGTGACATGAAGGCTGTGTAAAATATTTCTTTACTTTTCAGTTTGACAGTAATAATTAGTGAATGTAGGATTTGAGGTTCTCATTGTAGTGAGTATGAAGACGGCTGTTGTCTGAGTTGTACTGTCATGTAGTCTTGTAGAAGTTTGCTTATGTTTCGGAGGTTTTTCTGCCACCATTGTCTGAACAGACTAGTGAATGATTGGAACTTGGGATGTGAAAATTTGTATGGCGTTAGATCTTGAACATACCTACAAATCATGTATGAAATATTTGTAACTCATCGGTTACCAACATTTCAGTGGAGTGAAATTTTGAGGTTATATTTGACAAATTTAAGGTAGATGGAAGTTTTGTGGTATGTAATGTAACATTTGCAGTTACAGGTTGTAAATTCTTACATGTTCACCAGAATTTGACCTTTTACTGTAGGTAACAGTAGTAATTATGGTAGCTTAGAGACTTCCCACCCAGTTATTGTGTAATGTAGGATTTTACTGAAAGTGCCTGTTACTGTCTGATTTTAACCAAAACTGGAATGCAGTGTCAAATTTGAGTAAAACTCCCCAGTATTAAAATCATTAAAAATGAAAACCTCTTCAGCTGTTCTCAAGTTGTTTTATGTACACAAGTGGATGGAGCGATTTTTAATGTGGTCCAATTGGGATAGATTCTTATGATTCATGAACTTTGTTGCATTTCATTGCTAGATTAAAGACTTACATTAACTTTATATAACGTTAACAGCCTCAAAATCTGTAGTTCATTACTATAAATCTGTGCAGTAGAAAAGTAATCTTTATGAGCTGTGTCTGGAATTATTGGTGTTTCATATTTCTGTTTAACACAGTTATTTACCCCCTAGATAAAATAAAACTGCACAGTACATATCCCTTATATTTATGATCAATATAAAGTCTGAAATAATTCTTTTTGTGCATACTACATTGTTAATGAGCATTTCTTCTTTCCAGTTTTCTTCCCCCCCCATTTATAATGACAGGTTTACAATTTAGATGGGTTTTATTGCATTAGCATATCAAAAATCTATTTCATATGGAATTGAGTCTGCACTTTTTAGAATTTGTGTTCTGTTAATTCAAAATAGGAGGGATATTTCAAATCAGGTATGGTGGTTCCTACCAAATACAGAACAGAGTGGTAACCATTTGGCCATGATGTTCAGTCTCTGGAGTATGGCAAATCTTAGAATGGGTCTTTTTAAGTTTGAGTCCTGATACATTACGTGCAGCTGGTTCATAGAGTGAATACATAATAGAGAGGTTACATGTATGTCTGTCAACATGCTTAATCTTACAAACCACTAAACATATTTCACTGAAATTTGGTATTGGGTGGAGGTCCACTTAAACTCATCTGTCAGATTTTATTTTGATATGTATTGATGTTCAAACTTCTGATCTGTGCGAAGTAATATTGAATTGTCTAATATTATAGATGTTTATTTCAGATATAACCTAGAACTGAAGACAGTTCCTGGTCCAATCACACATGCTCTTGAGGTTGTATTAGCGGAGAAACCTGAGCTGAAGGCAGTGCTTATGGGCACAAGAAGAACAGATCCCTACTCTGCGATGATGAATTCTTTTCAGGTGCAATATCTAATATGTTTTCAATTATGTGTTTGCAGTGACAGTACTGACATATTTGGTTTAAAATTCTGAAACATTGTTTCAGTGTGGTGTGTATTTAATTAATTTCTCTGCAGTCTATACTGGTAATGTATATAGTGTCATTAGCATTGAAAAAAATTAATATCAAAGGCAATGAGGTACGCAGAATTAAAAAATTGAAAAATACATATACTCTAAACTGGAATAAACTTTTCCACTATTGCAGTTTATTTCCTTTTCATTATAGGTGATAATTCTGTTGAAATAGGCTTGAATTCAACTGAGGTTGCTGTCTATCCTGACTGAGGTTTTCTAATGTTTTTCTCAGTTGTTCAAAATGAATGTCAGGAGCCTTGAAGTAGGCCACATTCACCTCTTGTCAAATCCATAACACCTTCCCATTCATGATCAGCTTTCCATCTCATTTGACTTTGTGTAAGCTCTGGAGTTGAAACATTGTTAAATTGCATAAGAATAATGTATCATGTAATTAAAACATTTTATAAGTTATATGTTATGGCAGAATCTGGGATTACAGAAACATCCATACATTCTTGGTGATTGGGTAAACTTGTGTTCTTAACACATGACCCCTCATTGCTGTCAACATCTACTGTTTATGTTCTGTTGCAGATATATCAGTTCTTCATAAAAACCAGCTTTGAATAAATGTAGGAGTATCAGAAGAGGGAAAAATATTATTACATAGCTGGATAGATAAAAATTTTAGATTCTTAGATTGGTTTGTAAGAAATATAGCCTGTCTTTACGTCCTGGTCAGGCAGTCCCTTCTACAAACAGCATACAAAAGTTCTTTCTGTCTGTAACAGACAAGTAATTGCAAAAGTGTGGGAACAGACAAACTAAGGTTTGATGTTTCAGATGACAGACTCAGGCTGGCCTCAAATTATGCGTGTGAGCCCATTGCTGAACTGGAGTTACCAAAGTGTGTGGACATTCCTCCGGGACCTGTCAGTACCCTACTGTAGTCTCTATGATGAGGGGTAAGTCAATGGGTATATGTTACCAGAATTATTTTTAATTATAAATAATTGAAACATTGAGTTATACTTCAAAGCGTGGTACTACATAAAGTGATTATTTGCCAATGAGGCAGTTTCTGCTAGGCCTGCCATAATATGGTGTGATGGATTTTAAATTGCGTAAAATTTATGTTTGCAGAGTGGTTCATAACAAAAATTGTGATGTTCTTATCAGTGCTGTGACATTGTAGCCTATATCATACACCCCTGGCTGATTTTGATTTAGTTTGAAATATAAATTTATTTAATTGATTAAACACCTACTTATGAGAGAATAAGGGATAGTAGCATCTTTTGTTATAAAGGAAGTGCAACTTAAGTGTTTTATAGTTGAAGTGTTGACTTCCATGTACTAAATTTGGGTTAAGCCTTTATTGGTTAATATTTGTCATGAAGAAGATGCTACAATTTTTAAACTTTATGTTTTACGGATGTCAGCAGAATCTAATATCTCAGAACCTTCGAGGTTGACCTTCATGATACTGCTGAATGTATAGACCATTGAAACATTTTGTAATGTATTTCTTTGGTTTTAGATAGTAGTCAATCAACCAGTCAGGAGCAGGAAAAATGTTATTAAAATTGGATGGTTTATGGATTGAACCATGGTGTTCAGCAGACACTTTGTATTTGATTTCTTAAAGTGGCAGTCACTCATTAACACCACTTCGAATTCAGAAACTTTGTTAGAAATTCAAGTGTAAAAAAATTACAATTAAACAATATCGGGTGTCATTTATGTTCTGATGTCTACACTGCCAATATCTTCAATTCAGTCATTTACGCTTCACTCGGATAGTGTTGTTCAGCTGCTGAGGCAGTTTAAATCATCATTTGTGGATCCAAGCATCTGCTGGTGCCCTAAACTTACCTGACATAACCTGTACCAGCAAATCATCCCAACAACTTTAATCAATCCCCATGATAAACCTCAAGCAACAAATCCTCCACTGTGACATAAAGAAGAGAGTGGCAATTATCAATGCCATCCAAAAGGCACGCCAATACATCAACTGGTTACAAGCCTTTGCAGTCAAACATTCTAGGAGTATGTGACAAAAGATGGTGGTACCATAGAGAATATTTTCAGTACTTTCTTATCTTAGGTACAGAAGTCTCTCTTGGAAGTATTATTTAATTACAGCTTTATGAACATCCTGACAACCAGTTGAATATTTTGAAGGGTGGATGAGCTTATATGGAAAGACAGGAGCACATCTGTTCATCAGTCAGGATAGCTGGCCTCTGGGTCAAGATTTGGACCCAGAACCTTCTGGATACAAAGCAGGAGTGCTAACTGCTTGACCATGACATTTGGTGTGGTTGTATTGAAATTATCATCCACATTGAGCTGAAGTTCAGCTATGTCAGTGCAAGTTGGGTTCCAAAATAACATGAATGAGCAGATGGAGATGTTTGTTGAGGTGTGCACATGGCTCCTGAATTTTCTGAAGAAGGGCAAGGAATTCTTATTTCTGATCATAACCTGTGATGAGACATGTTCATCATATTTCTGAAACCAAGCATACCAGCAGGGAGTGACAACATTAAAATTTGCTTGTACCCAAGAAATTCAGAACACAGCAGTCAGCAGGGAAAGTGATGGTCTTGTTTGTGTTGACTTGTTTTAGAGATAAAACACTAATTGTACTATACTACTGTAATCTATTTCAAGACCAAAAGGTGCGTATGACTGTCCGAAGTGACCATTATCTTGCATAATAATACCTTTCCACCTTCTGCCCAAGTGACACGCAGTACTCTTGATGAATTAGGGTGTGAGTTGCTGCTTTACCCTCCTTACAGTCGGTGTATGTCCTCATGATTTCCACCTGTTTGGACCATTCAAGATTCACCTGGGAGGCTGCAGCTCAACACCAACAAGTAGATAGGGCCAAAAGCAAAAATAGTTCTTCACTGCTGCAATCCACAAATTATATGAAGGGTGGACCAAGTGTACTGCAAAACAAAGACAATACACAGAAAGGTGAACATGGTTTCAGCTGCGTATTAAGCCTATAGACATCCAGAGAAACAAAAGTCCAGGTCAAATTTGAACCCTTTTCATAGATTGTGAGGCAGCTTTATAATTGCATAGTGTCTGTACATAGCTTTCGATTTGATGGTGATTGTTAATGAGCTGTTGTAGCTAAGCATGTGAATTTTATATGGAGATGAATTATAAACATATTACAGATTTTCTGAGAAACAATCTTTGTATGCTAAGAATTACAGAAATGATTAAGTTGCAAAAATTTGATGTTGCATCTGGCAAACATAGTGTGATCAGAATCTGAACTAGTAGAAATTATGCACAAATGTGTCACAGAATTGTGTAATTACTAATCTATCTTACTGTATAGATCAAATCACTTGAAGGGCATATAAGTTGTACCCAGAAATTTTTGATGTTAGTTGGATGATATTTTTGTGCCTAACCCTTGTAGGCTGTTAGAATGAAGATCAAGACTACGTAGCATGGCCAGCAACTGTTTGAAAGCTGTCTGTCAGGGCTAAGAGGATACTCCTCCCCTCATAAGTTTTGGATTTGGACTAAACACCAATGAAAATTGATAAATTTAGTTTTTGTAAATTTTGCATTGTTATGCAAAATAGCCTAGTTTCTTTATTATTCTTAGAATCCACTTTGAAATGGAAGTTTGATATTGTTGTTGATATTCTTACCTACAATATGCCACTCTGTGTAACAGTTCTGACTTCACTAGAAATTTATAATTCATTTGTTTTTGTAGTGAACCTGAATCCATTTTGTGTATCAGATGAATAATTAAGTGTTATCAGTAGCTGCTGTAACCTGTGAATGTCTTAAAAGAATATTTGAACTTATCTGTTTGAATGCTGTACACTTCTGCAGAGCTACTCCTCTTTCCTTACCGTCAGTGATATTTGTTGCAAAAGAAGTATTTATTTCATGGAAAAGAAGCTTCCTTATCACATGATAAGTAGTGACAATGATAGTGTGTGTATATATGTTGTGTGTGATGGTAATGTTAATGAAAATCGTGTCTATAAGCCTTATAAATCAGACTTATAATCATAAGATGTGATAAGGAAGAAAAAAGATATACCCATTAAAATACAGTAATAAAGAAAACTAAAAGTATTCACCATAGAGCATTACAGAAGCTTGTAAAAATGTATAACTTAAATGATTGACTGCTTCCTTCTATATCCTTTCCAGTTTATCATTCATCAGTCATGTTATCATAAGATAGCTATACCATTTGACCTACTTATGTCATTGTTAAATAAAGCATGAATAAATATAGAGGCCACTTGGAAGATCTAGATATAGGTGGGAAAATAACATTAAAATTGCTCTTACAGACAAATGAATGTGAGGGTGTATACTGAACTTGCTAAGGATAGCACACAGTGATTGTTTTCATAATGAACATGTGTGTTTTATGAAAGTGAGAAACTTTATTAACCATCTGAGCAATTATCAACAACCATATAATTTATATTTTAACCTGTGAATGTTTATTTATGCTATGTCTGATTAAAGATCAGGACCCTATCTCATATTGAGGTTCTTCCACCTGCTCATAAGCATTCCTACAAATTTGACATGGCCTCACAAGTTGATATAGTATGGAAAACTTGCATGTGTTTCTACATAGCTGTTTTAATGCACTTGTGGAAAAACATTTGTCATGCCTCAGTGTAATGAAGTCCAGGGCCAAATCTAAATTCTAAAATACTTCAGATTTTCCCTCATTTGTAGTCAAATTTCAGTGACCCCAGTAGTAAATTCTGTCTGTGTAAGATTTTTGTTACCTTAATATTCAAAATATGTTGCCTTCCAGAAAAACTTCATATAGGGAATTTCACTGATATATGAAAAAAGGAACCACTTATAATTGGAATTTATTGTAACTGACGTGTGTTGTGTTCAGAAAGGTCCAAAAATAGTGCCCCATAAGGTTTATGTCTATTCTGAATTTTGTATGTAGTGTGTATGACCAAGAATGGCATGACTTCTTCCTTTTATTGATTTTAGATTACTGGTTGCAACTGTGTTGTGTTATTGACTTTCCCATTTGGTGATATATATATATGCCACTTGTTTCTTGAGTGGTTATTTTGCCAGTGTTTATTTATTCATGTAATTGATATTTGAATGTCAGAGTTTACATTTCTTAAGCTGGTCATGCGATCTCATAAATTTGAAACACAACGATAAACATGTTGCCAGCTATGCATTTCATTAGGATAATTGTGTGTCGGGCAAAATATTTAAAATTGTGCTATAATTGGGCTTTTATTTTCTTAATCATTGTAAATATTGAACGTTCCTTGGTGCTTCACTGACCTTAATAATTGTTATGAATTATTTATGGAACAGCCTCTGTTAGAGTGTGACTTTAAGGTTGTATAGAGTGTATAGTTGTCAGGAGCATTGCATGACATGATACAGATCAGTCGTAAGGTTCCTATGGCGTTGACATGCCACACACACATTCATTATTGATTGTGTCATGTTGGTTTAAACACCTATTAGACAAGAAAGCTGTGGTCATACCATATTAACCTACATATATAAGTCAGAGTGAATGCTGTGGTCTAGTGTAGTATTTTTCAGAGACTAGTGAGAAAACATGTCTATTGATCTCCCACTTTTTAAAATTAATTTTTAGTTTATACTATGTGAAGTATTTATGGTGGCATGCATGCATTATGGAGACTTGTGTATAGTGAAGAATTGATTTGTCACATGTTAAACTGATTTTGATAATGGTGAATCAATTAGTATGGGTCAGGTGAAGAATCGCAAGTGTCGTGAACCTGATTGGCTGCGTGACCTGGAAGGTCGATTGTGTTCAGTTATTGTAATAATCAGCTTCACAAGTACTGTAATTTCTTTGGTGTTATTCACTGATTCAACAATATTTTCTCTGTCTGTTGAATTGTCACCAGCCATTTGTGTGATCACAGATGTGAAAAATTTGAATGGCACTACAAATTGTCTGTGGACATCTTGCCGTCAAAGCTGCACTGCAGCCATTTACAATTGTTCCCAGATATATGTAAACTATACATTCAGTTACACAAATGTAAATAATACATTCAGTTTTGCAGCTGATAATAGTACTTTCCCATTGTGGAGTTCAGAAGAGAATGGCTTTTACACTGATGTGAGGAATGAGACAGAAACAAATTCCAGTTTAATTGAATTTGATGATAATGTGAATGGTTCATTGCCATTGTATGTAAATGTGAATGGATGTGGCTATGAACCTGAAGTGTCATGCACAAATTTTTATCAGCAGTATGGAAATGTTGGTATTTCATTTCATTGTGAAGTCAGCTTCAATATGGATCCTCAGATAGTGATACCTGACTCACCACTCAACATTGACACAGATAAGACTGCTCTGATAAGTTACCTCATATTTTCCTTAATGCCATTAGTTTTCTTTTTCGTTTGCTCTTTCTATGCTTACTGGCGGAAGTTGTTCAAACCAAAACCAAAGAAAGTTTTACATCTGTATGCGAAAAAGAAACAAGTGAAGAGATCTGAGACATTTTATGAGAAGAAAGTAAAGGAGATGGATATGTTGCGAGAAGCAAATAGACCAGATTCCACAGCAGAAGTTTTGAGTATCAGGTCT